GAATTTCAGAAAAATGAAATCTTCAATCCTGAAATATTCAATCCATATTCTAATTATATATTAGTTTATATTGATGATGTACTTGTTTTCTCTAAATCAATAGAAGAACATTTTAAACATGTACAGACATTTCAATGATTCGCTAAAAATAATGGGCTAGTAATCTCTGCGCCCAAAATCAAATTATTTCAAACCGAAATACGATTTTTAGAACATAATATTGTCCGAAATACAATATTCCAATTGAAAGAAGCATTGAATTCGCTTCTAAATTTCCAGATGAAATCACTGATCTCCGTCAATTATAGAGATTTTTGGGTTCGCTCAATTATGTAGCGGACTATTATAAAGATATTATTTTAGATATTATTATTCTTTATAATAGATTAAAGAAACAACATAATCTATGGACAGAAAATCATATTAAAGTTGTCCAATTAATTAAGCAAAAGATAAAAATATTACCGTGTTTACATATAGCAGATCTGTCTCTCCCTAAAATAATAGAAACAGATGTCTCTAATATTGGCTATGGAGGAATCTTAAAACAAAAAACATTTAATACCGAACAATTAGTTCACTTTACATCAAGCAAGTGAAATACCACTCAAGAAAAATACTCGATCATCAAAAAAGAAATATTTTCGGTAGTCAAATGTATTACCAAATTTCAAGATGATTTATTAAATCAGAAATTTTTATTACGAATTGATTGTGATTCAATTAAGTATATACTGCAAAGAGACGTAAAAAATCTTGTCTCTAAACAAATCTTTGTCATTTGGCAAGCTCAGTTATCTTGTTTTGAATTTAATATGGAATATATTGCAGGTAATACTAATTTTTTACCTGACTTTCTCACTCATGAATTTTTGCAGGGAGAAAAACAAAGAGGGGTGGATCACCCCTCATCAAAGGGTTAGAATGACACCGCAACTGAGTGTTTTCACCTTTAGAGGGGGAGGTAGGGGTCAACATAATGTGAATCCACGAAAATTTATAAATTTATAACAATATTTATATGAAAGTCCAATGATCTTCACATCAGAAACTAAATCTCCTCAAACTCCTGATTTATAAATCTAAAAAATCACAAAATTTGTGCAAAAGACAACGAAAGAAAAAATCCTCGAAATCAACTTAGAGGATTATGAAATTAATAATCCTTGAAAAATCCAGGAGAGATATTTGGGCACAAATGTCTACCCTCAAGATAGTCTTGATCGAGAATCATATGAGACAATCCTCACTTCATTACAATGTGTTGAAATTCAACATAATTATAATTAACCAAATAATTCTATTGCATATAACAAGACGACAATAAATCGCATCTTGCATCAGAGGGATTGGGGTTTAACACCTTTCCAAACTAAACAGGTTAAATTTATTCATCATGTAAGTAATCAGAAAAAATCATTTCTTTTTTATTACTAGACCTACGTCCAAACTATGAATCGAGTTTTTTTTGCTCATTAATCCAAGGCATAAACATTCTTGATTTTTTGTGTTAATATCATAAATTTTGAATAAAAAAATATCAAATTGGTTTTTTAGAATGATGGGAAAAATTTATAGTCACCAATGAAATCTTTCAAGAACCCATCAATGATTTCTATCCAACATGGATTAATTATTCTCCATAGCTCGGCAAAATAAAAAATAAAATATTAGTCAATAGAATGTGTGAATTATTTTTCTTCTGCCAAGCACAACTTCCATGAATCTTTACTTGAAATCTATGTCATCAACAAGATAGAGTCAACGTCAAAGGCTTATGGCGTACCTTCTTCATCAAATGGTGGTCACAAATCGTTATTGGTGATAAATTTAAATTAATAAAGTCATTAATTCTAATGTTGAAAATAATCGAGAATAGAGATCCCAAAAATTTTCACTTAAGAAAATTTATGATCAAATTAAAAGGAAATATCCTCGAAAATCTCCAGATTAAATCAAACAAATAATACAAAAATTTTATCAGAAACAGATGAAAGAATTATTTGAATCAGAAGATGAAAATGTAGTCTCTAATCAAGGGTCAGATGACGAAGAAAATTGAGAGCAAATCTGCTCAAATTAATGGCTGAATATTATAGTGGACCTCCAGTGAGGTCACTTCAGAAGAAATTGTGGGTAATAATGACGGTGAATGAAATAATACTAGTTGGTGGAATAGTGAATGTAATAATTCCGGTTGGTGGAATAGTATTTTGAAATAATTTCCTACTTTATGTTACATCTAACGGATGTGTTATCTTTTGTTTAATTATATTATATTAATTTTGGAGTATGTCCTCTATTATAAATAGGGGTCTTGTTTTCTTTGCTGGTGTGTAAGTTTCCTTCGAGTCTTCTCAATGTAATATAGAAGCGTCTGTCTGGTGTTTCCTTCAGGTCTTCGAGTCTTGTGCTCTGTAAGTTTCAACTGTTTTAAATATATATTTCTGTTTTTACTATATCCTGGTTTCAATTGATTGATAAAACTATTATGAAATTCCATATAAAATATGAATCTCTAAACAAAGATTTAGTTCTGATGCCAAATCTCTAAACAAGATTTGGCTCTGATACCAAATCTTGATTCATTTTTAACATCAGCTAAATTCAAATCTACAATATATTCTATACCAAATCATATTTTAACAAGATTTGGCTCTGATACCAATTGAAACAAGGATATAATAAAAATAGAAATATATATTTAAAACAGTAGAAACTTACAGAGCACGAGACTCGAAGACTTGAAGGAACCACCAGACAGACGCTTTTATATTACACTGAGAAGACTTCAAACTTACACCCCGCAAAGAAAACAAGGCAAAGAAAACAAGGGCCCCTATTTATAATAGAGGGCGGACTCCAAACTTAATACAATATAATTAAATAAAAGATAACACATCCGTTGGATGTGACATAAAACAATGAATTATTTCAAAATAATATTACACCAACCGAAATTATTGCAGTCACTATTTATCAACCAGTATTATTTTATCTACAGTCATTATTATCCATAATTTTTTTCTGAAGTAACCTCAGTGGGGTCCACTATAATATTCTATCATTAATTTGAGCTGAGGTAAGTCACCATTCGATCATAATTTTCTTCGTCATCTCATCCTTGATTAAAGATTGGCATGTCGTCTTCTGATTCAAATAATTCTTTCATCTGTTTCTGATGAAGTTCTTATATTTTTTGTTTGATTTGATCTGGAGATTCTCAATGATATTTCCTTTTAATTTGATCATGAATTTCCTTAAGTGAAAACTCTTAGGATCTCTGTTCTCAATTATTTTCAACATTCGAATTAATGATTTTATTAATTTGAATTATTTTATCACCAACAACGATTTGTGACCACCATTTGATGAAGAAAGTACGTCATAAGCCTTTGACGTTGACTCTATCTTGTTGATGACATAGATTACAAGCAAAGATCCATGAAATTTGTACTTGACAGAAGAATAATAATTCACACATTCCATCGACTAATATTTCATTTCTTATTTTGCCGAGCTGTGGAGAAGACATAACCCACGTTGGATTGAGATCATTGATGGGTTCTGAAAGGATTTCTTTGGTGGCTCTAAATTTTTCCCATCATTCTAAAAATCAATTTGGTATTTCCTTATTCAAAATTTTAGGCATTAACACAAAAAGCTAAGAATGTGTGTTGAATTAATCAGCAAAAAAGTTTGATTCATAGCTTAGACATAGATCCAGTAATTAAAAAGAAATATTTTTTTCTAATTATTTACAGGATGAATAAATTCAACATGTTGTCTGGAAAGGAGTTAAACCTCAATCCCTCTAATGCAAGATGTGATTTATTGTCGCATTGTTATATGCAATGGAATTATTTGGTTCATTATAATTATGTTGAATTTTAACACATTGTAATGAAGTGAGGATTGTCTCATATGATTCTTGATCAAGACTATCTTGAGCGTAGGCAATTGTGCCCAAATATCTTTCCTAGATTTTCCAAGGATCGTCAATTTCATAATCCTCTAAATTAATTTAGAGAATTTTTTCTTTCATTGTTTTTTGCTCAAATTCTATGACTTCTTGATTTATAAATCAGGAGATTGAGGATATTTAGTTTGTGATGTGGAGGCTATTGGGCTTCCATATAAATATTTTTGTAAATTTATAAATTTCCGTGAAGTCACATTAGGTTGGCCTCTACCTCTCCCCCCTCTAAAGGTGAGGTGTCATTCTAACCCTTTGATGAGAGGTGATTCACCTCTCCTTGTCTTTCTCCCTTCAAAAATTCACAAGTGAGAAAGTCAAGTAATGAATTAGTATTACCTGCAAGATATTCTATATTAAATTCAAAACAAGATAACTGAGTTTGTCAATTGGCAAATATTTATTTAGATACAAGATTCATATTTTAGCATCAGCTAAATTTAAATCTTGATACCAGAGCCAAGATTTGGTATCAGAGCCAAATCTTGTTTAGAGACAAGATTCATTAATTCTATATATATATATATATACTTTGAGCCGAACACGAACGAAGAAATTCTTGTTCGTGTTCGGCACAAAAAAAAATTTGTTCGTGCTCGGCTCGTTAACTTAGTGATGATTAGAACACGAGTTTCTTAACGAGCCAAACACAAACTATTCATGAACAATAAGTCGTTAGTTATATCCCTAATCTTCCAAACTTCTCAGAAAACAGCGGGAATGAATTCTCCATGTTGAAGAAATAAATAAATATCCAGATTCAATTCTCAATTCTGTTTTCTTGTTTCTCTTCCAGTTTGCCCAGTATATATCAGGATTCAAAACCAGTTCTGACATCAAAAACGGAAAAAAGTAAGAGGTCGGAAATTTATGAGGAAAAGATGACAGATAAATTCAGGTCAACTAAAATTTCCCCTTTAAACTTTCACTTCAGTGCTTTTCATATCAGAACACAAACAAGTATGTCAAAAAATAGTAATAATAATAATAAACAAAATTTTAACAGAGAAGAATGGAAAGGCACCTGGAAGAGCAGGCATTGCGCATGAAGCCACAGGCTTAGGCGATTTCTCGACCTCAACGAGGCACATCCGGCAATTTCCAGCAATAGAGAGACGGCTGTGGTAGCAGAAACGGGGAATATCGACTCCGGCGACCTCGCAGGCCTGCAAAACCGTCATACCTTTAGGGATCTTCACCGGATATCCGTCCACAAACACCTCAATCGCATCGTCGAGATTTGGAAACTCAATCCTCGCGCCACCGACGGGGCTCCTCGGGCTGACCTCTGGCGTCGGCGCCGGAGCCGGCGCCGTTACTGCCGCGGCCTCGGGTTTGTGGCGGTCCGGGGTGGAGGAGATCCATCGGCATGCAACCCTAGAATTATAGAGGTTGGATCTGAGGAGGGGACGAACACGATGGAGAGTTTGGAAGAAGCCCATCAGCGCGATCTCGCTCTCTCTGAACACAGTTGTATTGATTGAAGAACTGGGAAGCAACGATAGGCTTTGTAACACTCTAGACGATTGTCAATTGGAATGTGGCCCTTGTTTTGTTTGTTTGTAGGTTGCAGACCGGTTATTAAGGGTTATATTCGTATTATAACTTTTATAAATTTTTTATAATATATCTAATACCCGTCCTGTAACCTATCAGACGTACGTCTTCGGTACTCAAATATTTCTCCCGAATGAGCGGGCTAAAAGCTGCTCATGTGTTGAACCAATTAGAACCAACCTTAGACTGGGTCGCGGTGTATTTATATTTATTTTTTACCTTTTTAGAAATTCATGGATATTTATATTACAAAATTTCAATTGCCAAAAAATTGAACCCCTTTGAAATTTCATGTTAATAGGAATGTGGACTCTTCTTTCCGATCGATTGGGCGGGCTAAAAATTGCTCCTGTATTGGACGGATTGGAACAGCCTAAATCAGGGTCCAACATTAAAACCAGCAAACCAATCACGGTTCGCCTGAACCGTTTTTATATTTATTTTCTATTTTTATGAAAATTCATGGATATTTATATTAGAAAATTTAAATTACCAAAGTCTTCAAATTCCATGACTATAAAGTTCAACAATTGAATTTTCATTTTATATAGATAAACAGAATTTATAAAGACAAAAATGTTCATGTGGGACTAAAGATAGTTGGGTGAACTTTCCTGGATGCCACAATAAATTATTAAATTTTATTCAAGGGAATAAATTATACACTAGATTCTATGCACGAGATGGGCCGGATTTTTATGAATGTTTACATGCCTACCACTCAAATCTTATTTATTTAAATGTCTAACAAAAAAGCTTGCATTTTTTATAAATATAACACTCAAAAAATTTTAAAAAATAAAAAATTTGCATTTACTTAATACTTATAAAAATTTAATATAAAAAGAAATAAATAAATATTATTACTTAATTATTTAATTATTTCGAGTCAAATAAGCAGAACACGAACGAATAAATATTTATTCACGTTCGGCTCGTTTATAAACCGAGCCTAAAAATATTTTTATTATTAATTTACTATATTACTATTGTATTATTTAGATCACATTTAATTAATTTTTATATTTATTACGTCCTCGTCCGTTTCATCTTCTAGTTTAATCTCAAGCGAACCAATGAATCTTGAACATTTTCTTCTTTCAGTTTGATGTCTGGTCCAGTTTTCTTGTCCCGACAAGATTCATTATTACTAGTTAACATGAATATGGTGAGGATATATGATTATATAACACAATTTGATAAGCACATAAAACAAGGTTGATGTATTCTTACTCCACATTATCATCCAGAAATGCAGGATTAAAGTTTTTTTATGCTTTGTCATTTGATGTATGACTTCAGTTTCTTTTTCATTTCCTCTCTAATAAGGTCATCTCATATATTTAATAGAATAAATTAATGCATATTGTCTTTAAAGATATGAAATAAGTCGTAAGTAAAATAAATAATTGAATAAATATTTATATTTTAATAAATTCTCAATATTCCGATCATGACATGAACAAATGCAACAATTTAGTAGTTCGAAAAAAATCACATGGATGATAATTTTATAAATAATAATATGTTTAGTGGGGTTATCTGCTCATAACAATTTATATTCAGTTTTAGGGGGTGTTTGGAAGCAACTTTTGATAGCATTTATCTTCGAATTTATGAAATGAAGTAAAACATTAAAATGCTCTTGTTTCATGAATTTATAAATTTTTTAATTTAAGATTTAGTCAAAGTGAAAGATGTATTTAAATAATTTAAGTACGGATTTATTAAATCTTACTAGCTTCCATGAATTTATGAAATCAAGTAAAACATTAAACTGCTTGATTTTCATGAATTTATTAATTTTTTTATTTAAGATTTTGTCAGCACACACGTGGAAAGTGCAGTGAACCGTCGAGTGCCTCTTGGAGCTTCAGGGAATACGAGGAATGACGTGGCGCCACCTGTTTAAGTAAATAGTTCATAATTTTTGAATTAATTAAATCTAAATAATCAAATAAAACTTCAAAAATTTCATATCTTTCTAAAGAAAAATCACAAAAATGAGACAAAATTACCACTAAACTCATTGAACAGAAAAAAAACTAAATAAAATTAAAAATAAAATATTAATCAAGAAAATATGTTTTCAAATGAAAACTAATAAGAAAACTTAGGATAGTAAACCCACACACTAATATTATAACTTTCATTTTTTAAAATTTAAAAATGAAATCAGCATATCAAGGGTAAACTTGTAAAATCACAATTTTGCACTTTAAGCCCAAATTGTCTGCTAACTCAAATTAAACATAGAAATTAACTTAAAATCTTAAGAGCATACCTAATGGAAAACATTAAATCAAATGATTAATTAAAGAAGGTTAATTTCATAATTTTCCCTTTTATTTTGAAATTACCTTAATAACGAAGGCTTGTTATTTAATTTATGTCCAAACCATCCGAGACTTAAGTCAACATGAATTTATCCAAAGCCTTAACTTAGGTCTAACCCAACTTAGACTTAATTTAAATTTTAAAAGTAGACGGGTCTAACCTAATTTAGACCTAACTTAATTCAAATTCTAAACTCAACTTAGGTTTAACTCAATTTAGACCTAACTCAATATAATTAACTTCAAACTTAACTTACGTCTAAACCAACTTAGGCTTAACCAACATTAACTCAAATTACAAACTTAGCCTCAACTCAAGTTCTAAATTAACTCAAGTCTTAAACTTAACCTAAAACTCAACATAGGTCTAACTCAACTTAGACCTAACCCTAGACCCAACCTTAAACTTAACATAAGTTTCAACCAATTTAACCAAAATCTAAACTTAGTTCAAATCTAACCTAGCTTAGACTTGGCTTTACTAAGCCTAAACATAATTTAAGTTTAACTTAACTTAGACTTGACTTAACCAAATTCTAAACTTAGCTTAACCTAAAACTTAATTCAAATCTAACCTAACTTAGACTTTAGTTAACTAAACCTAAACTTAGTTTAAGTCTAACTTAACTTAGACTTAACCAAATTCTAAACAGCTTAAACTAAAACTTAACTTAGGTCTAACCCAACATGACTTGACTTAACTAAACCCAAACTTAGTTCAAGTCTAACCTAACTTAGACTCGTCTTAACTAAACCTAAACTTAGTTCAAGTTAAACTTAACTTAGACTTGACTTAACCAAATTTTAAACTTAACTCAAACATAACTCAACTTAAATTAACTTAAACCAAATTAGGTCAACCCAACCTAACCAGGCCTAACCCAAAGCAAACTTAAACAAATTTAGGTTAACCTAACCTAACCTGGGTTAACCCAAATCAACTTAAAACCAACCTAGGTGAACTTAGCCTAACTTGGGCTAACCCAAATCCATTTAAATCCAACTAGGTTCAACCCAGCCTAACCCGGGCTATCATAAATCAACTTAAACCTTTTCGGGCAAACCTAAAAATTAACAACAGCTCAATTAAACAAACAAAGTTAAGGAGTGTTTGACCTCTAATAAGAGAATTAAAAAACACTCGACTTAAGAAAACACTCCTTAGAGATAATATGGGCAAAAATGCAAAATTCGTGATAAACAAAAAATATACAACCTAAAGCATGCCCTAAAAAAATATTAAAACTTAAACTTCAACTATAAAACACAACCTAATTTGATAGGGAACTTTGGGGGAGGCAACCAATAGATACTAACAAAGTAACTTTTGGTCACTCATGGCTAATCAAACTACAAACTCCAATGACTTCGGGAGGACGGAACCATGGGATCTTGGCTGGATCATTTCAACATCAAAAATAAAATAAAAATAAATCACATAATTTAATGAGCTAAAGGGTCTTGAGCAACCTATAATTTTCAGCCCCCTAAAATCAAAAAATGAGATTAAATCTTAAATGAAACCCTGATGAACAAGGATCATCGAATGTAACTTTAACCCTGCTACTCGGATCTACGAAGATCTCTTGGATAACGCAAGTCATGATTGTTGATAAGAATCTTCCAGTTAAGATAGGTTTGACCGCCTCTCTAGACTAAGTAGAGTTGGGAACCTCACAACCCATAGATAACATAAAGTCATGGGCATCTTAACCAAGTTTTTCTAAAGAAAAAGAATGATAATTAAATACACTTATTTCTCTTACATTCTATCTCTGTTTTGTAGGGCTGCTAAAAATAAAATACAAAATGCTAACTTAGAATTGTTATTAGGGTGTTTTAACTTTGTTTTATAGGGTTGTCATAAATAAATAAGTTATTATAGTAACTTACGATCTTTTCTTTGAGTCTTTTTTTCTTTTATAGAGCTAGGAGGTGTTATGTTCAATTGACTATAAACATCTGAACTATCCAAAAGAAGATGAAACATGAAGTGAATGATGAACCTCAACTAAACCATCAATGGTAGTTCGGATGATGTCAATTGATGAGTTTGACATAAGTTAGGTTTGACACCCATATCGTTAGTTTTTTCTTCATTCATTCGATAAGTTTGCCCAAACTACGTGTCAATATTTACATTTCTACCTTTTTCCTAGAAATCTGGTAGACTTGTTTAAGAACTAAAACTTCTACCCTAATGTTGACCTCACTTTTGGTTGAGGTCTAGTTTCCTAGCCTAATGTCTAGCCTTAGGAATTTCTTGTTGACTATTTCTAGAGGACTAGAAAATGAACCCTCACCATTAGAAATTCTAAACTCTTCTCTGCTCAACTTGAAGTTCCACATATTCGTCCTAACCTCTAGCACTTAGTAGGTGGGGACAATATGGGGGGAGCTCAAGGAGAGTTCCCATAGGGTTGATTGGCCTTAGGATGGACTTTGGGTGTTGGTTTTGAGCTAGTTCATACACTGTCACTCACTTGCACATTACACCCCCACTCACAACCCTAAACCCAAACTTGTTAACTTTGATCCCTTGATCTTTTGGGATACTCATGTAGATGGTCCCCTAGACTCACTAGCCCTAGACTAGCGTTTATATAAGACCAGTACATAGAGGACCCAATAGAGGACCCAAATAATAGAGGACCCAAATAGA